CAAAGCGTAACCAGGTAAATGTAGATTTGCTGTGAGTTCCCCTGGGAGCCAGAGGGAACGGATTGTAATGCTGCAGCCCAGGAGCAGAGCAGGAAGCGTTAAAGTCTCATAGGGAGTCAGTGTTGTGGGGTTGGGTGTGTCTGGGGCTGCTCATGGGATACAGACCCTCCCCGTCTGATGCTAGCCCAGATCACTAGTGACTGGGTTCTGCTGGGGCAGGTTCCCCCGGGGACACAGTCCAGGGCCCCTGGTGAGCTCTGGAATCTCTGCCCCAGGGGATTCACCCCCCAGAACAAGAGTCCCACTCCAGCCCGAGGGCCAGGCATTCCCGAGTCCCTAACCCTCTCCTGCGCTGGGCCTGTACGAGGGTCCCAGTGACCCATTCGTGGCTCTGGACCGGATTCCTTAGTTCCAGAGCCCAGTGACTGCTGTTACCCAGCCTCCCCTGGCATTGCCGCCCAGGTCTCCGTGTCTGTGCCCCAAAGAGACAAACCCCCAGCTCGTTCCATCCTGCTCAGCCTGGTCCTCAGCCCAGAGCTGGTGGCACCGTCCCTCGGGGAACACAACAGTTCTAGCTTGAATCCACTCCAGCATCGCCCTCCTCTGGGCTTCCTGATACTCATACCCCAGCCCTGATCCCTGACCTGGAGGGTCCCTCCCATTTCTAGGGTCACTGGAAATCCAGGAGAGTCAGAGCCCCGAGTAAATCTCCCCTCGGTTAAACGTACAGCGTGAGATGACTGATCCCCGACACCCCCAGCTCAGTGCGTGGTGGGGGCTGACATGGAGCGTACTAGAGCAGTTTGCCCCTGGGGGGCTCCTCCCTGGGTCGGGTTAATGCTAAGGGACGGGTCATTGACTGACTCTCCTTATTCACCTGTTGGATTCTTTCCTTTTGCAGCCCCTGGTCTATTTCCCTGTTTTCTCGCACTGTCGCCACCTGCCAACTTCTCTGTCTGCAGCCTCTGTCCCCCAGAGCAGGAAACGAGTCCCTAGATGGTGGAGCTGCAGTGACCCCTGCTGGCCAATCAGATGGAGCCCAGGCTTGACAGAGCAAAGGTGAAGGGGTGACCTGGTTACAGTCTATAAGTACCTACGTGACATGGGGAACGAACATTTCATAATGGGCTCGTCAGTCTGGCAGATAAAGGTCTGACACACGATCCAATGGCTGGAAGTTGAAGCTAGACAAATTCTGACTGGAAATGAGGCCTAAATTTTTAATGGTGAGAGTAATTAACCCCTGGAACAATTTACCAAGAGTTGTGGTGGATTCTCCATCATTGACAATTTTAAAATCAAGATGGGATGTTTCTCTAAAGGATCTGCTCTAGGGATTATCCAGGGGAGGTTCTCTGGCCTGTGCTTTAGAGCAGGTCAGATTAGAGGAGCACAACGGTCCCTTCTGGCCTGGGAATTTAGGAATCTCTGATGGGACGTACCCACCACTCAGTCCTGCCAGCTGACGAAAGAGCCACATGAAGGACTCCTGACCGGGCTCCCTGCCCCGTTCAGCCCATCCCTCTGCGCTCTCTGCACTGACCTTCACTTCAGAGAGCAGATATGTGGAATACGGGGGTGTAACACCATTTGTTTCTGTGTAATACGCTGTGTGTCTGTGAGACCCGGTGGTCCCGGAGCAGCTCTGCTGAGTCCTGTGGGATTGGCCTGACGCTCAGACCTGGGCTGGCAGGTCCCCAGGCTGGCAGGAGCTGGGCGTTTTACGGATGTGACCCTGTGACTTGATTGGAGAGAAACAGACCCCTGCTGTTACTGCTGGGTCTGGCCAATCACCGGAGTGGCCTGGAGAGGGTCCCTGAGGGCCGTGGGCAGGGCCGGATCCCATAGGTGCCCATGCTGGTCTGTGCGCAGGGACACCGGGGAGGTGAGACACAGACCATGTGTAGTGCTGGGTTGTGTCTTTTCTGCTACTCTGGATTCTGGCTGAAGCCCCTGTCTCTGCCCAGCTCTGAAGAGGCAGGAGATGGTTGTGTAATAATTTCTGTTTGACAATAAACCGCCCTGGCAATGCTTGAACTCACCCCAGACGTGCAGAGTCCTTTCGCTGATCTGCCCCTGAGCCGGCCGGCCCGTCCCACGGCAAGGAAAACATCCAGCTTCTCTTTGTGGCTCTGTTGGGGCAGCAGGGAGAGGGAGAGGAGACCTTCAGGGAGCATTTCCTGCCTTCCTAGCGCATGGGTTGGGCTGGGTTGAAGTCCCACATCTTGGAAGATGCTGGGATCAGAAGCCCCTGTCAAGCTGTCCTACAGCGGCTCAGGAGCCTGGTACCAAGCTCAGGGCAGAGGGTGAGGAAGCCGGATTGGCACAAAGCCCAGATTGGCTGTGAGTTCTGTACTTAGATTTCACCTGCAAACGCCTCAGGGTCCATAACAGCCTTACTATGGAGTCAGAGACAGTCCCCTTGGGCACTCCCGTCTGTCTCACCACCCAGGGACGTTCGCTTTTCTTTCCCATAGATGGTCCCTTGCACCAAAGATCCCAGCAATATTCCGGTTACTCCCAGTCCCAAAGGACCAGTCACTTACCCCAGGTCAATTGCACTTTAGATCTCACCCCAAAGACAATACTTGTAGCCAGTCCTATAATGAACTATCTGAATATTTATTAGATAGGAAAAGGAAACAAGAGAGTCCTTTACAAGGTTAAAGCAGGTAAACACATCTACATGCAAATGAGTTCCAACCTTAAGTTTCAAGAACTAATAGAAGCCTTTATGTATAAACAAACTGTATATGTCCTTTAGGGCTAACCCAGGCTAAACACTGGGGATTTCTTGTGTATGCCTGAAAAACCTTGTCCTTGAGAATCTAAGCAGCATAGAGACAGAGTTCCTCCTTGTTAGGGTGTTTTATTCCTTCCCTTCTTCTGCTTCAAACTGCAAACTCAGCTGCTGGGAGGAATTCACTTGTGTGTCTCCTCTTCCTGGGTTGCAGCAATCAACAGAGTCTTTTGCCACCTAATGGTTAAAATATATGGAGATATACCTATCTCGTAGAACTGGAAGGGACCCTGAAAGGTCATCGAGTCCAGCCCCCTGCCTTCACTAGCAGGACCGAGTACTGATTTTTGCCCTACATCCATAAATGGCCCCCTCAAGGATTGAGCTCACAACCCTAGGTTTAGGAGGCCAATGCTCAAACCACTGAGCTATCCCTCCTTCATAGTATTGTGTCTGGTGTCGAGGGGCATGCTTTGTCAGGCAGGACATAACCGCTGCTTTTGGAGACTAGCGTTTCACACTGGTTCTTGCTACTCTCCTGTCCGCTGGCTCCTGGTTTGCCAGCGTCACAGCCCCCGTGCAGCACCTCCCCCTG